CAGAAGAAAAGCACCATCAGGCGCGCAGGTAAGAGGGGGGGGGGGCGTTGGCACAGGGCTCCCCGCTGCCACTTCTGCAGAGGCAGAGCGAAGGCGCTAGGCCGCGGTGCCTTTCGTGCTGCTGAGCTCTCAGTGCGCTCGGGTCCGTCCTTCTCGAGACTCCCTTAGTTACAACAAAATGCAGGACGATGTCGCACTGTGCAGACTAACAAGATGGTTTATTAGGTGATGAGCTTCCGTGGGCCAGACCCACTAGGGCTCCCCGCTGCCACTTCTGCAGAGGCAGAGCGAAGGCGCTAGGCCGCGGTGCCTTTCGTGCTGCTGAGCTCTCAGTGCGCTCGGGTCCGTCCTTCTCGAGACTCCCTTAGTTACAACAAAATGCAGGACGATGTCGCACTGTGCAGACTAACAAGATGGTTTATTAGGTGATGAGCTTCCGTGGGCCAGACCCACTTCCTCAGATCAAATAGTGGAAGAAAATAGTCACAGCCATAGATACTGAAGGATACAGTCAAAAAAATGAACACACATGATGAGCTAAGGAAAGCTTCTCATCTAACGTGTGTTCTTTTTTTTTTTTTAATTGTATCCTTTGGTATATATGGTTGTGACTTTTCTTCCACTATTTGATCTGAGGGAGTCCCACGAAAGCTCATCATCTAATAACCATCTCGTTAGTCTTTAAAGTGCTACATAGTCCTGTGTTTTGCTTCAGCTACACCAGACTAACACGGCTTCATTTCTCTTAGTTATAGGTTCTAGAACAGGCTACTAGGAATAGTTGGTAGGCTGCATGAGTGGCCCTCCTTCACCTCATTGGGCTGTGGCAGTCCATGGTCCCCTAGGATTCCACCTGTAGTCCTGTGGCCTCCCTGTCTGCTCCTCTCCCCCCCCCCCCCCCCCTTCCACAAACTTTGGGCAGTCCTCCTTCCCAGCACTTGGAGCTGTGAATTTCACACTCTAGTCCTGCTCCTTCCCCTCCTTCCAGATCTTAGCTTAGGTGAACAGCTGGAGGGGAGGAGCAGGAACTGTAGGGCTCTGGTGCCCTGATGTTGGAGAGGTGTATGTGGAAGGGGGCAGCCGGGATGTCTGCAGGCCCCAGTAGGCTCCAGTGTTCTAGGAGTTCTGCTGGAGGGTTACCACTGCATGGGTTCTGTCTTGTCGGCAGGGGGTGCTAAGATCCATGGGTATAGCTGTAAGACAGGAGTGGAGAACCTTTTTTGGGTCAGAGACCGCACATGAGAGAAGCAAATCAACAACAAAAAAAAAAACCACACTGCACGCTCACATACACACTCATTGTTGTGGTAAGTTCTTTTAAATTTTTTTAATTTAGAATTTTAACGTGATGGCTGTATTTTCTTTTTTGCTTGAAAGGAGCTGTGGGGAGGGCTTCCCACTCCGTCAGGTCCTGCATGCCTCCTTAACTGTTAATGAGTTTGCTGGCAGTGTATGGCTCCAGTCTGCCAGATGATGTTCCCTGCTGCAGCCAGCCTATTCAGGGAAGGAGGTGGAGGGAAGAGAAGGAGGCCCGCTGTGGCCTCCCCTTCCTCCCAAAAGGTGCCACATGCAGGGAAGGGGCTTGGGGGCTTCCCTTCCCTCCCACTCTGGGAATGGATTCCCCCTTCCCTCTCCTCTCCTCTGGTCCTGTATGGCTCCTTACCAGCAAAAAGTAGGCCCCCAGCCTCTGCAGCTGCTGGAGGCTGGAAAGCAGCTGCAGCCTGTTTTCTGCTGCTGCCTCCCAAAACTCTGCAGGGCTCCACCACACCGAGCTTCTTCCTCCCGCCAGATCTCTAGCACATGCCTCTCCCATGTGCAGGAGAGGAACCGGAAATATCCTGCTGTGCTGCAGGGGAGGCTGGGGGAAGTTTTTAAAGCGGCCCCTGGGACCTCCTTGACATGTTTCACAGCCTCTGGACCTCCTGCCCCCTGAGGGCTGGATGAAATTGTTTGGTGGTCTGGAAGTGGCCCACGGGCCAGAGGTTCCCCACCTCTGCTGTAAGAGAATCATAAAAGATTAGTGTAGAAAGAGTCTTCAAGAGGTAATTTCATTAGGAAAAACTATTTCCCTAGGAGAGTGGTGAAGCACTGGAATGGGTTACCTGGGGAGGGAGTGGAATCTCCATCCCTGGAGGTTTTTAAGTCTGTTTGACAAAGCCCTGGCTGCGTTGATTGAGTTGGAATTGGTCCTGCCTTGGGCAGGGGGTTGGACTTGATGACCTCCTGAGGTCTCTTCCAGCTCTAGGATTCTATGATGATCTTAAGTATCAGAGGGGTAGCCGTGTTAGTCTGAATCTGCAAAAGTGACACATCCACCAACGTAATATATGCCATCATGTGCCAACAATGCCCCACTGCTATATACATCGGCCAAACTGGACAGTCCCTACGTAAAAGAATCAATGGACACAAATCTGATATTAGGAATGGCAACATACAAAAACCTGTAGGGGAACACTTCAATCTTCCTGGACACACAATTGCAGATCTAAAAGTAGCTATCCTGCAGCAAAAAAACTTCAGGACCAGACTTCAAAGAGAAACTGCTGAGCTACAGTTCATCTTTAAGTTTGACACAATCAACTCTGGATTAAACAAAGACTGTGAATGGCTTGCTAACTACAAAAGCAGCTTCTGCTCTCTTGGAATTCACGCCTCCAGATCAGCTGCTAGAAGTGGGCCTCATCCTCCTTGATTGGATCCACCTTGTCATCTCCAGCCTGATCCTGGCCTGCATATTTATACCTGCCTCTGGAAATTTCCACTACATGCATCTGATGAAGTGGGTCTTTGCCCACGCAAGCTTATGCTCCTACACTTCAGTTAGTCTATAAGGTGCCACAGGACTCCTCGTCGCTTATGATGATCTTGTCCAACCCCCTGCTAAACGCAGGACCAACCCCAGCTAAACATGGCTCCCTCTCTTTTCCCTTGCAGATATCCTGAAGAACATCATCAAAGACTACAAAGGTGTTTACTCAGAGATCATTAAGCGAGCCAGCAGGACCCTCCAGCAGGTCACCATGGTGTGGAAATGGGATGGGGGGGTGGGGGAGGAGCTTGGTGAGGGGTGCGCTCCTCTCCCAGTCAGTGCTGGGTACTAAGGGGTGCTGTTCATGAGGGGGCACATCCAGGAGCACTCTCCTCTGTGCCAAGCACTAAGGGGCACCATGCTGTAGGTACCATCTTTCAGCTAAGTGATTTAAACCTCTTTTCAAGCCACTACATGTGCCTTGGGCTTTTTTGTTGGCACAACTTCTGTTGGTCGGGGTGTGGAAACATTCCACCCCTCTCTCGACTAACATAAGTTTCACCAGAAGGTGTGGTCAGCGGTTAGCAGGAAGCAAGAGGATCTCCTTGTTGGGGGTGGTTTAAATATGGTGGCAGAGAAGGGCTCTCCCACTGACCTAGAGTAGCCACATGGGATACTTGCTACTTGCCGGCATAGAGTGGCTGCACTGTGTCCATAGTATGAACGTAGCCTTGGTGTCCTGGGTTAGTATTATCTTGGCTGCTTTATGTTGCAGCACTTTCCTCTTGCCGCTCGACAGGAGTCCTGGCTCCCATCATGGCCTGTTCTAACTACGAAACCCCATTCCCCATCCCATGCCTCTTTGAAGCTAACCTCTTCTGCCCCCCTCTCACCACCAGGTTTTTGGGCTGCAGCTGGTGGAGATAGACACTAAACATCACATCTACATCCTGGTCAGCAATCTGCCACGCCTGGAAGGGGAGGATTTGAAGCAGTAAGAGGGAAGGGGCTGGCTGACTGGGGTGTGGGGCAGAGAGACAGATTCTACCTCTTCCCTCCCAAATCAAGAGGCTTCCAAGCCCTTGAAAGTTAATCCTTGACCTGAGGCTCCACCTACCAAACCCCAGCTCCTAAAAACTGAGATGGGTGATCCCTGCATCCATCCATCCTTTGGATTGTGTTTCCCTGCTAGGGGCCAGAAGGCTACATTGCAATGTCTGGAGGTCTGCTGAGAGGTTTTATTCTGCCATTAACCCCACTACTTCCTTGTCCAGATTTGCAGTCCCCTCTGGGTGAGTGACACTCCTCTTGTGTGTTATAGGGATGATTCCACAGCAAAGCTGGGCCTCCTCACAGTCATCCTCAGCTTCCTCTTCATGAAGGGCAATGCTGCTAAAGAATGTAAGCCCACCCAATCTCTGCAGGCCCCACCCCTTCTCAGCAAGTTCTGCCCCGGTTGACATTCTCTTTCTGCCCTTTCAGCTGCTGTGTGGGAGATGTTGAGGAGACTGCGAATTGACCCCGGGTACGTGTGTGTGTCTGAAATGCAAAGGGCTAGTGTTCTCCAGCGCCAGCTGTGGGCTCCTTCCCTTCTGTGCCCCAGTTAGCTAATAGAGGGTCTTGTGGAGGCTTGTCCACGGAGGCCCCACCTCTTGAATACATTTCTATCTACAACCTCTCTAGAATGAGACACGAAGTCTTTGGGGATGTCAAGAAGCTGGTGACTGAGGAATTTGTTCGCCAAAAGTAAGTTTGGACTTGTCAGGATGGCCTGGATTTTATGCCTGGGAAGGGAGTGGGGTCTAGTGGCTAGAGTAGAGTGGGCGGAGCACCAGGACTCCTGGGTTCTACCCTATGTCTGGGATTTAGGGGAGGTGAAGGGCTGGCTCCCAGGCCCCTTACTCTTAACTAGTAGGATACACTCCTCTCCCAGAGCCAGGAACAAACCCCAAGAATCCTGCTGTCACTCACTGTCCATCCCCATGAGTGGATTTGGAATTAGTGCCATGATGGCCTCATGGGTTGGGTGGCTGCTCTCTCTGTGAGCCCAGGTTCATGTGTTTTGAATCCCACATAGCTGGCGTGTACAGAGCAGCCTTGGCGGAGTTCACAGCCTCGCTGTTTATACCATGCCGCAGATGATCTCGTTGCCCCCTTACACAGTCTGCTTGGAAGCCAGTTCCCTGTGCTGAGGGCATCGGACACACATACTGCCTGGGTTGGTCGTTTGCCCTTCTTTGAGGGTTTCAGAGATCCAGTAGCCCTTCTTTCCCTCTGACAATAGGAAGAAAAGGAGGACTGGCCCTGGGACTCTGGAAAATGGGTCACCCCAAGGTATTTGAGGGAGAGGGACATAGAATTGCAGTGAGGTTGAAGCCTAAACCAGAAGGGACTGAGCAAAGGAAGAGGACAGGAGTAGCAGAGTAACTAGAATCCAGGTGTCCTGAGCCCCCTAACCTAACCATTCAGCCATGCTGTTGTTCCATAGAAAGTGGGGGTGGGGAGAGGGAATGAGCCCAGAGGGAGGCTATGAGCTCAGAGTGGAGGAGGGTGATGGCTTGGAGAAGGGGGCATGGTCTTTGATTGCTGCACCCTGCCCACTCAGGTACCTGGAGTACAATCGCATACCCCACACAGACCCCCCTGAGTTTGAGTTTCAGTGGGGCGCACGGGCTGCCAAGGAGACCTCCAAGATGCAGATTTTGCGCTTCGTTGCTAAGGTACCTGCCTGCTGGTGGGGGGATGGGGAGGAGTGAGCGGACTCTGGGATTTGTGGGGAGCATAGCCTAGACCCCCATAGTGGCCAATGCGTAGGTGCCTGGAGATAGGGGTCGCTTAAGAGGACTGTTGGTTATTGACTAAAACCCTAAGGGGCAGTGCTTGGAGAAATGGGGGACAATCACTGGGCAACCAAAGGGACTGGGGGATAGGGGGGAGGGCTAGGGTGCTTGGGCATGGAGGGCCCCCTGATGGGCCAGTAGACCTCTCTCCCTTAAGGGCTGCTGATGTCCACACAAGCCCCAGGTGTGATCGCAGCCCAACTGTCTCAATTCCTACTTCCTGTCTCATTAGATCCAGAGCAAGGACCCTGAGGCCTGGAGCACCCAGTATAATGAGGCGGCAGCTGAGGTGACGGCTACAGGGGGCCTGTTCCAAGACACTAGGCCTCTTGGAGACACTGGGGGAGCTAGCCAGGGAGCACGGAGGCGGAACCGGTCAGTTTCATGGGGTTCACCCATAGGTACTCTGCCCCATGGTGCCTTGTGAACCAGAAGCAGGCTCAGCATCCAGCACCCAAGGGTCTACTGAGGCAGCTGCCTCTGCCCTCCTGATCTCAGGCCACCACCCATCTGCCTCCTGGACAAATGGGCTATGTCTACACTACACATTTTTGCAGCAGAAAATATGCTGATGAGTCCCTCAGTCACCTTAACCCTAAGTCACCACATCATTAGCATATTTTCTGCCATTTCTTTTTCTGCAAGGGGTTTTTGCGCAAAAAGAGGCAGTGTGGACTTTTTTTTTTTTTCCTCTTCACAAAAAAACCATTTTTGTGCAAGATCCTTATGCCTCTCTGGTGCAGGCATAAGGATCTTGTACAAAATGGGGTTTTTGTGCCAAAAGGAAATGTCCACACTGCTTCTTTTTGCATAAAACCCCTTGCACAAAAAGAAATGGCAGAAAATATGCTAATGATGTGGTGACTTAGGGTTAAGGTGACTGAGGGACTCATCAGCATATTTTCTGCTGCAAAAATGTGTAGTGCAGATGTAGCCATGGAGTTGAATTGTTGTATATTGGTTTTGCTCAGCTGGCAGGGGGAGCTCAGCTACTGAGCTCTCCTTGCTTTGCCAGAGGAGGCCAAGAGCAGCTTGCGCAAATTCCTCCCTCCTGAGGGGAGCTTGCTGCTGACATGATCTCTGATTCACCCATATCATTTCCAAATGGAGTATGCAATTCTCTGCACAACGGCAGCAGGCAAGACCCTTAGTGTGCTCTTGGCTGCCAGACAGCCCTCTCCTGCGGTCAGAATCCCACTGCAAAGGGGGTTGTTTGTAGGAGGCTAGGCTGCTGAGCAGCTTCTGGGAGGCCTTAAGTGCAGGAGGCGGCATGTTGTAGCAAACCATGTGTGCAACACTGGTGCTCCTAGCTGTGTTACCTGAGACACGGTCATGTCTGTACCTGCTGTGTTCTCTGCCTATAGTGCTTCCCAATGGCAATCCGGAGTCTTGCTATGCAGTTCCACTTGTGGCAGTCCCTCCTCCACCCCCATCATAGTGACCTGCTGAAGCAGCATTGTGCATGCCCAGGAGAATTCCCCCCTTGCCGGAGCTCAGGTTCCCTGCAAACCTAGGCATCATCACTCATGTTCAGTGTAGTTCATCCTCCCTCCTCCTCCACTGAGCAGTGGGCTAGAACCTAACCGGAAGGAAAGCTCAAGCAGCAGGCTATGACTTCAGAAGCCAAGGGCTGAGGCCCAGTATAGCCCCATAAGTGCCTTGAATAGCCCTGACTCCCCTGCCATGGTGAAGGAGAGAGCCTGCTTTAAGGGCATGGGTGGATATCGTATACATGCTTCCTCAGGTTCCTGAATCACATTGATATTCTGCAACATGAACCCAAGAGCTATGGGATTATGCGCACCTTGTTGGCCAGAGATCTGCCCAATTCCCATGGAGTTGTGGCTCTCTTGTCTTGTCTCCTTTCCCCTTCCTGCCAGTATATTTAGACCATGTTTTCTGGGGTAGGAATGATCTTTCATTAGGGCTGTGCTATGTACAGTGTTCTAGGGGCTCTTACTGCAGGCATGCAATCTCTGTGATGGGTCCTTGGTCTCAGGTGGGTATCAGGTGCACCCCCAATTTATACCCTTGGGCCCTGGGGTATGTTAATGGGGTTAGCACAAGTGTCATGCAAGGTTTAGTGTGGGGGCCTTGGCAGGGAGAGGCATAACCTGGATAAAGGGGGAGGGGAGGACTGCTTTATTGGCCCACCAAGCTTTGAGGAAGGTGCTAAGCTAAGATCTTCTGAGTGGAGGCATTTTGTGGACTCTTGGCTGGCCAGAGAATAGGTCTTGTAGCAAGATAGTTCTTTGTCATTCAAACCATCACTGAACTGGGAGGATTGGTCTAATTGGATGGCTTTCCAGTCAGCATCTGCTGCTGAAAGTTTTGTGGGTTACCCTAATTAGCTTGGTAACATTTAGGAATTAGTTGTGGTTTTATCCTTTCATAATCAGTTCACTTAAACCAATGTGTTTTGAAATCTTTGGGGCTTTCTACTCAGATTAATGAAGGCTGGGAACAGTGTGTTACCGTTTGATGGAGTGGCACTTTTAATGAGCTTCTATTGTTTGGGGAGAGGGGAGATCCCAAGAAGCATCAGGTCTGTGTTTCTTGAGTTGTGAAGCTGAGCTGGAGGGCTGTGAGGGGGCTGCCTTGAATCTCTTCAGCAGTGGCTGGAAAAGCCTTCAAGTAACTTCACTAAGGGTGCCTGAACAATGGTATGCACTGGTGGCTCTGAGCATAGAGGCTGTTTCTCCCTTTCAGGGCAGGGTAAAAGAGCCTGGTCTGTCAAATAAAGAAAACACAGCGGTTTAGTGTTCAGGTTGTCCTGCGGGCTGTCAGTCTCACCTTGTTTTATACCCTTGGGCCTTGTTTTTTTCCTTGCTGGTGGAGAAGGGGAACTTGCCAATGGACTGCTCAGGGGGAACTAGTGGGTAGGAGAGCAGTGCCCCAACAAAGGAGATGTCTGCAAGGGCTCTGTTCCCCCTCATAGTACAGGGAGATGGAGAATGCTTTCTGGTGAGGAGTTACCCAGTCTAATGTGTTGCTAAATGCATCCCTCTGGAAACACCCAACTGAAGTGTTTTCCAAGATTTTTTTTAAATATGTCTCATAACTAATAAATGGTTTATTATTCAAGGGCCAACATGTTTTAAAAAGAAAGAAAAATTCATAGGCTCAGTGGGCAATGGTGGTTTGTTTGGAGCAAGACACCTTGATGTAAAGTACAAGGAAGCATCATCTCAGCCTTTCAGTAGTAATAACTGTCATCATTCGAGATAGCAGGAGAATAATTCACTAAGGGCCCAAGTATGAAAACTGTACTCACCTTGGGTTGCACTCGCTGATGAGTTGTGGTGTTGAAGTCATCAGTGGTCTTATGTGAGCGAATAAATAATCATAATCAGTGAATGAATGTGTTGCGTGTTTGAATTCACTAATTATTTGTGATCATCAAATAGGCAAATGGAGTGACTTAATCCATGATTGTGTGATGTTTTCCTAGTTATGACATTTCTTTTAATGAGTTAAAAATATCTTTCAATGGGACATTTCATCCATTACAGAATTCATCTGCAATAAGAAATACTTCTTCTCAATCAGAGAACAGAACTGAATTATAAACACTTCTTCTCAATTACCCAGTCTTGTTTTAATATACTATATCTCTGTAGCCACCTTTCATTAATTTTGAAGGGGCCTTTTCCCTGAATGTCTGGGCTCTATTAGTAAGGTAGAGGTAAAAAGCAGATAAAAAGGACACATTCTACCCTTTTTCCTTCCCCTATTCAATTCAACTGAAGGACACATGTTCGTTTCAGTATACGCAGGGCAATAAACCTAGAGATGCACAAAATAAAAAGGCTGTTGGTCAGTGTATAAAATAATGAGTTTAAAGCCATGAAAATTACACACACAAATAGATCCATTCACACAAACTGATGCTTTCTAAAAGGTGACTTGGATGGAATGGCTAGATTTGATCAGAGAAGCTGAGTGGTTAGGAATGCAAGAGGTTCCTGGGACTGCTGTACAGTCAGTATTCCCTCCTGTGTTCATCGTGGGACAGGTCTCCAAGAAGAGACGAGCTGTCCATGGCCTGTTTTTTCTCCATGTTGAGGATCCATGTGGGTGACTCAGTGGAAAGCAGCTGGGGATCCTATTTATGCCCCAATGCCTTGTCAGTGCCTCAGCCCCACCCTGGATGGACCCCTCTGGGGCAAAAGGATGTTCTGCCTCCATGCTGAGGGGTCAGTGAGTGTCAGTTGTGACCAAGGGTCTTGTGTGATGGGCTCCTTCCCACTTGGAATTGGGCTGAGCCCATGATGCATTTGGGGGGTGGCTGCAGCTGGGGTTCTGGTTTGGCTCATTATAGAGGAAGTTTGGAGTCATCTCCCAGTGAGCATCCCAAACTTCTCCAGCACTTGGGTGTGGGTTATTGGCTTGAGCCCATGTGTAATTATTCCCCTTTGTGGTGATGCAGAGAAACTCTCTGAATTCACCACTAGCATGTGTCTGAATATCGCTTTATACAGAGAGCCCAGTGGAGGTAAGAGACCACTCCAAGGGATGACACCGCGAGAGTTTGGGGCAAGAGGCTCTCCTGCTCTTCTCTTCAGCTGGTTTAGGGGTACCCTGTGACATCTCAGGAAGGGCCCTGCATGCCAAGAATTGGGGGCTCAGTTGCACAAGTGTTACCCTGAGTCCGCTTTAATCACAAAACACTTGCTTTTTAGCCCTTATGAGTGCAAAAGAACTTTGGAAGCATCTGCCCTCTTGCCCTCACCATGGGCATCATGTCTAATTCAGGCCCTGCTTCCTAACATCACAAGGTGGCCTCTGCAGGCCAGAGACACCCAGTGACCAGGACAGGAAAATTTCCATCTTCCCTAAGCAACCCCTAGGGGCTACCAGCATTCCTGAAGGTATAGATCTGTTTGGGTCTAGCTGGGGAGGCAACAAGAGAGGAATGAGGACAGACCCACCCCTTAGTTTTTGTACAATGCCTTGTACAGCACAGGGCCTGCTATGCAGATCCCTGGCCTCTGGCTCTGGCTGCTGGGCTCGGTGTGACGTGCTCCCTGGAGCACTAAATAGTCCCGCTCCTCCCCCCACGCTGTGCTGGGCAGATACACCCAAACTTGGGCACACCCAGCCACTGAGGGTGAGCCTCCATCAGCCATGGCTGGGAGCAAGTGTAAGTGCACTGCTTCTGCCTGGGCCCAGCCTACAGGGTACAGTCAGAGATGGGGCAGGGCAGAGTGAGGTTGAACATGGGAGCCCTCTCTGGGCAGCCTAGTTGGTGACAGGGTACATTGTTCCAGTGAGGAGGGAGGCTCTGTGAGCCTGCCTCAAGCTGTGAGGATCTAATCTGTGGCTCTGGTTTTGTGATGCTGTATGTCTCTGTCTTCCAGCTCTGCACATAGCCAGCCAGAAAGACCCGTGTCTTAACTCATCAAGAACAGCTCGGATGGACTGGAGCCCCAAGGTGAGCGAATGGGTGGTGTTGGGTGTTGGAACGGTGGGGGGTGCAGGAGAACTGGTCAGTGCCAGGTGTGGGAAAGGTGGGCAGTGCGGGTGTGCTGGGTGTTGGAATGCCAGGCAGTGCAAGGTGCAGGAGAGGTGGCAGTGCCAGGAGCAGGCAGTAGTGGGCAGTGTGGTAGCAGTGAGGAATGCTGGGTGCACGACCCATCAGAGATGATCCTGCTGAGTCCTGTCCTTTGTATTGGCACCCACTGTCTTCCACAGCCAAACCCAGCCCTGCTGGGACAACAGTGGCCCTAGGCCGTGAACTAGGATATGAATTTGGCCCACTTTTCCCCTGTGAGCAAGAGCAGCAAAGCAGGGCTGGTGTGCCTGACTCCCCTGTTGCGGGCTCTGAGGAGCTGTTGAAGGCAGCTCCCTGGCCGTACGCTACGGAGTCTACAAGATTGACTGCTGTAGCTGTCACCAAGAATAGACTCTCACTGAAAGAGGTGCTATCTGATAAGTAGCTGGTACCTCGTCCCACTGACTTCCTGGATGTCTTGTATAATAGTCTGTCTGTCAACGTCACACTCCCTCTCTGACTTGAAATTTTTGACTGTAGCCTTGGGAGGGGACACAACTTTCCAGGGTGGCTGCGTTTGCCTGCTAAGTGGCCAGTTGCATGCTATTGTGGGGTCAGGTTCTTGCTCCTCTCCCTCTTGGGTCTAGTGCTGGTCTGTGCAGGGACAAGTTGGTGTCTGGGCTGCTGCTCGCCATCTCACTTATATCTCATCCCACCTGTGACTGTCTCATCTTGGCCCTGCAAGTGAGAGTGTCTCCTGCAAATGAATAGCACCCTGGTCTCAGCAGGGTTCCTGAATACAGTGGAGGGAATGGCCTCTCGGCTACCTCTACCCTGTAGCTTGCTGTGTCAGCCAACTCACTGGTCAGTTCTCTGCCCACCAGACCTGGATTCACCCTCCCCCCCTTCTTACTCCCAATTAATTGCTCCCTGTGACTGTCTCATCCCACCACTCATCTCCATGGCATGCAAGTGACACTCCTTTGGCTTCCTCTCCCTCCAATGGCACATTGATACAAATTGCACTTTGCCATTTACAATTGTTTTTTGGCCAGCTTGTCCCCAGATCCCTGGCTAATGGGTTTGCCCAGAGATGTCACCGGCACGATTCCCCTGCACACCATGCTAAGTGTCCCCCTCCTCACACATCCCAGGCACCCACATTGGAGTGAGCCCCTCTGGAGTGACTCTGCACTCATCTTTTCCAGGAGCGTCTCCTGGAGAAAAGACTCAGAAAACCAGCCTGGAGCCATTAGAAACAATCCTTGCCTGGGGTAGGGGGATCAGCTGGGTGAGTGACTCCACTGGCTTAGTGCAGTGAGCCCCTGTCTGAGCGAGAACAGGGTCAGGCCTGGAAACCAGAGCGATTGGTGTCAGTGGTCACTATGGAGCTTTTAGGCTGGTGATGGGAGGGGCAGATTGGGGCTCTGAGAAGGGAGGAGCAGGGCAGGACACTGAGAAGGAAAGAGGGGATCAAAGGGTGGTGATGGGGGTAGGGGCATACTGCAATTCTGAGAAGGGAAGGGCAAAGTAGAACTTTGGGAAGAAGGGAGATCTCTGAAATAGAAACCACACATACTCCCTAACTACCCACAATGACGCATTACCAGACTCTTTCCACTTTGTAGACAGGCAATCCCATGGAAACAGTTGATCTCTCCAAAAATCACTTGGCCCCTCAGGAATCCAGCATATGTAATCTTGTATCCCACACAGAACCCCATAGTAAACATAATCCTCTGATGATCTGTGGCAAAATGTTTTCTTGCAATTATAATACTCAGGCACTAGGTAGAGGAAACCAAACATATTTTCAGAGATTTTTGTGTATGAAGCACAAATACAGAGGACTAACCTTGAGATGTCCTTTGATTACTTTGTGCCTAACTGTAATATCATCCATGTATGGACTTACTTTTGCCAGAGCAACCACAATAAATTAGCAATTATGAAATGCAGAAAATTGACAAGGGAAGCTAAAGATACCACTGAAACCTCTATGGCCAGGAGAGTTAAGATCAATAAAACAGAATTTTAAATATATCAAAAAGCAAAGCAAAGACAACTTACAACTGAATAGCTCCAGGACAAGATAGCGATGGTAAATTGTCAACAAAAATGAACAAAAGGTAGAAATATTCAATAAATGTTTTTTTTCTGTGTTGGAAAGGAGCTGAGTGATGATCCCATTGATCCCATTATTTTTATTCCGATAGTGTGATCATATTCTTTTGATCATGTTATTTTCAAAAGTTTTAGCATTACTGAAATGGGAAAAAACAGCCAGTTTCTCCAT